CATGCCTATTGCTTGCACATGCTGGCACGAGAGCTTTCAACTGAGATGCTTAGGGGAGATGTGAACCCATATCCCAAGCTTCAACTCCATAAGCAGGGTTCTGAACATGTTGTGTGCACATTTCCGAGGGGAGGCATGTTTTGTGGGCTGTTGAGGTCGTGCAAGATTTCCTTCATCACTGTTATAGCCGGTTCCCCACCCCTCTGCCAGAAGTGAAGGCTGTGCTCGTCTCCAGGCCACCTTAAGTTGCCTGGATGATGGTCTTGAACAACAAGCCTCCAACCGTTTTAGCTTGAACCAGCACATGTGAAGGCTCGGCGCGTGCCCCGTACAAGTAAGATCCGAACCCTGATCTTCTAAACCGAAAGCACTGGGAGTAAGACTTGCCATGATGCCTGCGAATTTTGGGGAGTTTAGACAAGGTGAGCCTTATGTGAGCAGTGGCCAGGTTGCATGTTTACAGGCGCTGCAGTTTGTTTGAAGCTGCAGGATCTGTACTACCTGCCGGAAGGCAGCCTAACTGGCATGCAGGACTGGCTTTCGTGCGACTACGGACTGTGAGGTGGGTATGTGTTCATCTTGAGATCCTCTTGTGCGCTTCCGAAAACAACTCTAGTGTAACGACTTCCCGGAGAGCGACTGTTGTTTTGGAACTCTCTTGCATGATGTTCATCTTCAGGTACTTACTGTTGAAGATTCAGTTTTGGATTGAGACTCCATCGCCCGACACTTGCTGCAGGAGGCCCTCAAGAAGCCCGACGTTAAAGAAGAGGCCGGAGTTTGGGCAGGGTATCTTCCCAGAGACAAGGATGGACATTTGCCTGGCCTTAGAAACTCAGTAGTCCCCTCTGATGTGTCCTGGGGGTGCTCAGGCGAGCACAAGAGAAGCTTGAACAGTCAATCACAAGGTCTATGAAGTGAAGCCATGCTTAGTAGGGGTCAACGCTGTTGGGTCTTTTACGCGCTTGCCAGGAGATACATCTTAGTGACTTGAGGCGTTGTCGCAGCCTAAGCTATGCGACCTGTACCATAAGCAAGACTCCAAGATGCCCCAAAAGATATCGCACTTTACTTCCTCGTTGCTTGTCCATCTCGTGTCATGTTATAGTTCTCCACTGAGAGACACTCAAAGTTGAGCCTCCAGAAACCCCCACACTTGAACTCTGTCATGGAGAGCCAAGCCTGAATCGAGTCAGATCCTGAGTCCTCCCTGCTAGCTGCTAAATCCCATGACCAAAAATCTGACGTTTCCAAAGCCTAAACCCACCAGTCTTAACCTCAAACAGGAGACACTGACTGAAAACCCAAGCAGGACATAAAGCCCTTCTTCGAGAAGATCCTCCAGCCCACGTTACTGGACGACAAGGCGGGCAGCAAGTAGCAATCGGAGATTCGGTGTCTTTTGTTAATAAAGATCATATCATACAGTAGTTTGGGGTATCGAAGGGGGAATCTCGTAAGATTCGGAAGGGAGATGTGGTAGGAATGTCGTGGTGAACGGTGGAATGCATGCGAAGTGGCCTTAAGGTGTGAGGTTTGGGGTGTATTTAAGTTTTTCTCAAATGACGTGGATTTTCCTTTTCAGCTAGGGCTCGGGCCCTGTACAATATAGGTTCGGGTACATGTTGGTACTCAGAAAGTCAGTGCCACATCAGGTGTATAAGGGTAAGCTTGGTGTCATGCACAACCTTCATGTCAAGCTAGCTGGGAACGAAGGTTCTGCAAGTAGACGGGCAAGCCGGACGTGACAGGATTCCAAATCGTTGAGGTGAGCTCGGCAGGGTTGTGCGCATCATGCAAGCTTCGCCATGTGTTGCAGTTCCACTCCCTCGTGTTGACGGACCCTAGTAGCACAGCTATTGTTCGCTGGGTCTTCCGAACAGAGCTCCTTGTTTTGGGGGCAGTTACCCTCGTGGCGGCTTGCCTTCACTACGACAGGCCCCAAGGTGCTGACCTCAAAGCTACGTCCCGAAACTCCAAACAAGCCGACAGCCGACAGCGAACCCGCGGTCCATGAAAGCTGGACTGCTCCTGGTCCTGGGGAGGAGATGTTGCTACCAGTTGACATGCGTGGCGTCGAGAAGGCTTTGGAAAGGGTTGAAGCATCTTTGCAGACTGAACAGCTGCAACTGTCATGTTCATGGCCTTTCAAGATGCTCATTCTGTTCTGCACGCTAGCTGTGCAGGCACCTTCCAGCAAGACTCCTTCAACTTCAGCTTTAAGCAGACATCTACGAACCAAACAACTGATAGCTCCTCACCCCTTTGTGAGGAGTATGAAGGCATCGATGAACTCATTCAGGAGTCCGCAGCCTCAGATTCCCCGCAGATGTTGGCCTGGATTCGTAACAGTTCATAATCCGTAATCCTGGTCAGTAGCATCACGAAATGGCAGTTTCCCAAAATTAGGGACGGCAAGGACTTGCGAAGTGTAGGTACGTCATGACCCATTTCATGATCCATTCCATTGGATTCTCCACTTTCCATCGGGTCTTCCTCTTGATTCTCCACTGCTGGGATATCACCCTTATGTTGCCTCGGCAGTTCGAATTCTGCTCAAGTGGTGATGGGGCCCTGTGATGGTCCCTCGCTAATGGATCATGGCCAGCACGGCAATGATTGTGCTATGGTGGTCAGTGGCTCTGCCAGCGAGAACCTGAATGGCGGCGTAGCTATCGATGAAGGTGGTGGAATTGGTGGGAGCGGTTCAATAGCTATGCTGCTTGATGATGAGCTAGCAACTGATCATGTTGTGGAGGGGGACAAACTGCCTGAGGAGGCATGTGGTACGTCAACAGGTGAGAGCGATCGCGCTGACTGCCCAAAGAAATCGACTCCCCTAGATCATGCTGGCACTACAAAAGGTACAAATTGGTGTTAAATGAAACCGTTCCTGTTCTCTTCCAATTATTTAGGCCCCTACACCCTATGCCCATGTGAATATACCACAGTAGTTTCCATTTTCTTTTCCATTATCCCCATATGACCATAAAGAACCCTATACAACTCTATATAATCCTGAAGAACTCCAGAAAGCCCTACATAACCATTATCCCTATAAAACCCCAATATATACCCTAATATAGTAGTTTCCATTTTCTTTTCCATTATCCCTATAAAACCCCAACGTATATACCCTATTATGGTAGTTTCCATTTTCTTTTCCATTATCCCTATAAAACCCCAACGTATATACCCTGTTATAGTAGTTTCCCTAAATTACCCCTACATTACCCTAAACCCTAAACCCTAAACCCTAAACCTTAAACCCCTACCTTACAGTGCCTTCTTACTTTTTCAAGCAGCCTCTTAGGCTGAAGCCGGTCGAAGCCGCCAAAGCGCTCCTGAAAGCCAGAACGTACTTCACGGAGCGCTAGGGTTTAGGGTTTAGGGTTTAGGGGTTTAGGGGTTATTGATGGTTATATAGGGTCATATAGGGTTGTATAAGGATATAGGGGTTATATAGGGATAATGGAAAAGACAATGGAAACTACCATAATGGGTTATATAGGGATTATAGGGTATATATTGGGGTTATGTAGGGATAATGGAAGGGCTTGGATCTGGGTTGCCCTAAAGAGGGCAGATGCATGCATTCTGTTTCAGTTGTCTTCTTGGATTTGGGTTTAGGGTTTAGGGCGCTGGGTTTAGGGTTTACGGATGAGGGCTTAGTGATCTGGGATTGCATCGCACAGTTAAATACATAATCATTGGCAATAGTACAAAAACACAAGGAATTCAACAACGGAAAGGAAGCTACTATATTGTGTGTAGACTGAGGGTGGGGAGTTGATGCCTACCAAGCCCTGCGCTCGATACCAAGCCCTTCCAAAAACCAAAGCCCCAAAATACTACAGTGGTTTCCATTTTCTTTTCCATTATCCCTATATGACCCCTATATCCTTATACAACCCTATATGACCCTATATAACCATCAATAACCCAAAAAAGCCCAAGACACGTCTTCCTGCGTGATGAGAGGAGAACACAGAGGGCAAGTGGCCAGACGCTGACAAGCTAGACTCTCAGCGTGTTACGTGAGGTGAGGACTAACAATAGGGGTTATATAGAGGGTATGTAGAGTATATACGTGGGATAAGAGAGTGGATCATGCAGAGGTATATTGGGATCAAAACAAAACAAGACTGTTGGGTTTTGTGGGGACTATCGGGAACCCAGATGTATCAGCGCCACTTACAGTTACACATCCCTTGAGTTCCATGGCCGCAGGTGCTCGGTTTTCCTGTGTAGGGGAGGTCTCTTAGCTAAGCCTTGAACCCGAAACCTCTATGCCTAAACCCTAAGCCTAAACCTTCAGCCCTAATCCCGAACCATAAAACCCCAAACCCAATTGCAAATCCTGAGTCAGTTCTTTTCCCTGGGACGCCTCAGAGGGATCTTCCATCCTGCTGGGGCCAGGAGATATGTTTGCAAAATTCTGGAGATGTTGTATTAAGGAAGCTTTGAGGGGGCCCCATATTGGATTTGAAGATTTGGGGCCCTTCAGGAGTTCAGGCCTCTGTGGCTTTGAACCTAGGATTCTTTCGATCCTGGACCCATTTTTCTTCCAGACCCCAAAGACACTGGAACCACATATACCCTATTATAATATAGTAGTTTCCATTTTCTTTTCCATTATCCCTATATAACCCCAATATAGCCCTATATAACCAATTAAAAAGCCACCTTCCAGGCCGGCCCCGCTTTCGGGAGCCGAGTGGAAGAAAATCCTCCAAGAGGTCTACGGGGCGTTGCGTTACATGAGCTCTGCATGCTTGAGCAGTAGGACCATATGGTAGTTTCCCAAAATAAGGGGACCCCAATATAGACCCCAAAATACTGTAGTCCTTATTATAGGGGCCCCCAAAAGGTATCCCCAATTTTGGGAACTACCCATATAGGAGCCGCAGCCTGATAAGGGGGTCGCAATGCAGGGACCTGTCGATCTAGTGCCCGGGTTGAAGGAGGGCCTATGCTGACTCACCTGACAGACGATAAAAGCTTTTGATTTCTTGGTCTTTGCACGAAGTTGTGGCAGGAAACCGAGGAGGACGTCATGGAAGATGACGATGATGAGGCGACGCCAGAACATGTGTTGACCTGGAGCATCAAGATTTCCAATTTTTCAAAGGGGTAGATGCTACAAAAACGAAGCCATAGCACAGCGTGGAACGACCTGCTGAGCCTGGAAAGTAACACGGTGCGGCTCCAGACTCATCTTGACCTCCAGACGCGGTGCGGAATGATCTACATGAAGCTTCAGCCTTTTTACAAGTTCTTAAGATGTGACAGCCGTGGGCTGTCTCAACGTTGCGCAAACTCTAGTTGCCGGCCGTTTTCATCATATAGCTTCTTGCATGCAGGGAACTCCCAAACAACTTACGCACAAGAGCAGGACCTGCTCGAAGCAGACGAGGAGGAGCTATGCGACGAGGCCGTAGAGTGGAGCATGGTCTTTCGAGAGCATTTGGACAGCTGCAGATTAGTCCTGGGATCTGGGGATTCGCAGACCCGGCATGGTGGTCTGATAGGGGCTTTTCGGTAATGTGCCAGGACTCAGGTCCTGAGGTATCCTCAAAAAAGGAAGTTCTGTTACTGTTTGTCTCAGTTTGCCTGAGCTTCGTTGCAGGATCCGGAGGGTGAGGAGGAGGAGGAGCCTCCTGCCAAGAAAGCCAAGACCGAGTGAGCAAAAGGAGGGAAGCTCCTTCAAGGAGCCACTTTATCGTATAGGCTAGGCTAAACGCTGGGTTCCCTCCTTCACAATTAATCTCGCCACAGCAAAGTATGATTCAAGGTGGTTAGTTTTTGTGCAGAGCCTGACTGGGCAAACTGAAGACATAATTGCAGCAGGACAGCAACAGGCAAATTAACGAAGGCCGTCATGTGTGGAGCAAGCTTTGACCGTATCTCAGCATGAAGGAAGGGTTCACATCAAGTAAAGCTGTGAACGTCCACCGTCTTGGCTTCAGGCGTAGACCTCACACCAGCGGTGGGAGATGCAAAAGGTCCAGATGTGAATGATAACATTCACTGGGCAAGCTGATGCGAAACCAGCACAGCTTCAGGCTTGGCTTGCCCCAGGCCTTGAGATACTACCTGGTGCCTAGCAAGCAATGGTGGAAGTGACTTCGAGAGGTATCCATATGCTTTCCATAGTTATCTTGCCCTCAGCACCGTGATCCATTCCGAATCCATTCCCTCGTTTCTTGCTAGGCACTGGGGAGAATAGTCTAGGCAAAGGTATCACGGAGGCCGTGTGCTGTTCGAGTTGGAGGTGGCTCCTAGCCGCCACCAGAACTTGTCAACGGGGAGTGTATCCTTTTGGCAACCCACGAATGCATGATTTTTCAGCCCGAAGTAAAGGATCCAAACCAGAAGGCTGGCAAGAAAGGGACTTCAATTTCAACGCTTCCTGTTTGCAAAGTGGATGATATTGCCAGGAGGATTAATTGGCACAGGCCTCCTTATGTACCAGTAGGTCTTGATGGCAAGCCCACAGAGGGAGCATGCTGACCCGCCAGAATCCCTTCAACGGCTATGCAGCGACAAGAGCGAGAAAGGCAACCATCCCCTTAATTCTTCTCAATGTAATATCCATCGTTCTGATTCTACGTGCGACTGTTGGAACTAGTTGTTTTCCAAGTCTGGTTTGGCAGAGTGAAGTACTGTTGGCCACCAGTACTCTTTTTGTAATTGCCAGGTGCCTCAGCCATAACACTTTCCTGCCCCCTAATGCGAGTCTCGCCATCGTGGCATGGCAAAGACTTGGGATGAACGGCCGCAGTCTGCTTGTCATTGTAAGAGCTCCAGACTGGAGGGTGACAGCATTGGGACATAGGGACGTAGGGAAACTACACTTCAACTTTCACAGAAGGAATCATAATTTCGATGAGGTAGTGGATTGGGTTACAGCTTCCAATCCAAATGGTATCTGATTCCATTTGATTTCTGGGACGGTCCGGGCAGACTCCATGGCATAGCGATCAGATTGGTCCTCCCATCCTATGGTGAGGCGCTGTATCAGAAGGCCAGTAGCACCCACCGCCGTGTGCCGCGCCTAAGACCAGAAGCCCCTAATAACGATTGTAAATCTATCCTCTGCGGATTTCTGACATTCAAGTTTGAGCCTCGGATCCTAATCCGTCTTAAAGCCAGGGAGAGGCGGCCAACCGATCCTCCAGTGCATGAGAAGCATCAAGGTCTTTTATCCCCTGGCCCCCACAAGCTTCACATCGAAATCTGACCTTGCCCCCAGACACAAAGCTCTTAAACCCTCTCAATCTTGAAGCGGAAACGGCCGCCAAGTTCATCCTGATTGCTCCGCGCAAATCTTTGAGCCGCAGCAGCCACGGGTGGCTCGGCGACCAATTGCTCTTTAATACCACGCGGGAAAAGTGTATGAGCTTTGTGCGGAAGATCTCTTGCGCTTGCATCGCAGGTCCTGGAGGGGTAGTGGACACCACACGAAAGTCGCGCAAACAGATAGATGCAAATACAGATGGTACTATTTTGCAAACAAGTCGCTGTGGAAATCGTGCTTGTGAACTGAATACATGCCGCCATCATCATCAACAACAACATCATGATGATAATGCTGCTGCTGCTGACAATGCTAGTGCTAATGCTAGTGCTAATGCTAATGCTATGATTATCTGCTATCCAAAGCAGGTCACAAGGATAAGAATGAGCCCACCCTGCAGATCCTTGCGTACCCATTTCCCTTGTCCCCCAGACCCGGAAAGAGGTTGAAAAAAGTGACTCTGTGCAGCCGCGGGCTCAACGCGGCACTGTGGAGCAACCGGCATCGCCCGCCATGGCCGCATGGTGGGTGCTGGTGGTACTCAGTGCCAGAGCCTGTGTGGGTGTTGTGCTCCGGTTAGGTATGGTGGTGTTCTGTGGCAGAGTTAGAAGAACAACACCAAGGCGTCAACAGTTGACGGGGTCTTGTTGATTCAGGCATGCGACCTAGTGTGGTTCAGGGGGACATGGAGGGTGGGCTCAGCGCTTCAGGACTGATGATCTGGACAGTTGTCCCTCTAGTAGTCCATGCCGGCTTCTGGTACATGCGGGTCAGGAATGACCTTTGCTCTGAGACGTTTAGTGGATCTGGCATCTTAGCCTGAGGCTCAAGATCGCACCAATATCTGAGCCCGCGATACCCCAATGATAGAATCGAAGACTCCCAGCAATCCGAAGCTTGGTACTCCATTCGAGGCCCAAGTGTTTGGCATTGAGGATGCTAAGAGAAACAGTTGCTAGACACTAAGCTTGTGACGTGTGTGCTCCAACTCTCAGAGCCATAGACCTTTAGGTCTGGACCCTCCACTACAAGCAATCTCCCTCAGATTTCCACACCCATCCCGATTCTTGCATAAAGTTTCCGAACATCTAGATTTCCCCCAACTCACGACTTTACTTCTGCGAAGGACCTGAGAATTCGACAATCCTAGCCTGGTCATGTTGGGCAGAAGGTTTTCCGACAAGCCCAGCGCATGGCTTTCTAGTGTAGATCCGCTGCTGTTTAAAAACCTGAAGATATTTTAGCCTCGTAGGGTACGAAGATGCCCGGTCCCAAACACAGCGGCGCGGTTCTCATAAAAACCCTCCGCCCGAAACATTACACGCAAAGCTGGACCCGAACCCTAAACAAAAACAGACTGAGGCTCTTTCGGGAGCCAATGTAGTGAGAGCAAGGCCCACCGCCACTCACGGTCCGGGCCCTGGAGGTTTGTAGGTTTAGTGTTGGGGGTTTGGGGTGTAGGTTTCGGATTTAGGGTTTGGGAAATAAGGGAGCACAGCTGCCCTTCCGCAACATTTGTAACAGAATTAGTGCCGGTGAAGACCCCAAACAGCATGGATAGAAAACATGCGAATGAAAGCTATAGTTGGCGTTCAGCGCTTACCCCATTAGAACGTGAAGAAAACAAAGTAGCAACAATTCAATAACTACAGAAAACATCAACATACACATTTAAATGCATTGGCGGCTGGATTTTACCTTTTCTGTGTTTGACTCCGCAGGCTTGAACATTATGGAACGCTGGTCCGATTCTTGCATCCCTGGATTGTAATTTGAGGGCCTCGGGCAAAGAGTACTAGCATTGCAAGACACTACTCCAGCTCAAGGTGTCTTGAGTCTCGTAGGTTTGGGGTTCAGCGCTTAGGGATCAAGGTCGAGGGTTCAGGGGTTGGACTGGAAGGATGTTGATCCCGTACTTTAACCTGGCCGGTTCTTGGCCTTATGGTGTAGGGTTGAAGAATAAGGATGGAAGCATCTTGAGCCCGGCCGTGAGCTGGCAAGTTTAGCTCCACCCATTCAGCCCACAGCTCCAAGCCGCGTCCCGCCCATCAGGCGTTGGTGCTGATCCAGCCGCCACGGGCCCCCAGCTAGCCCACAGGTCGCAGCCGCATGCTGACCATCCAGCCCCACCGTTTCCTGTTTGGACCCAGCATACGTGGCTTTCGGTCACGACCAGCTTTCGGACCAGAATCTTTGCAGGAATTCATAACTGCGGGGTCCGCGCTGCATGCCACCCATCCAGCCGCCGCATTCTTCTTTGGGCCCACAGGTCCGCACCGCGCACCACCCATCCAGTTACGATTCGAAACCGCAATCATAACCGCGGGCCCACCGTGGGCCGTCAGATCCTTGCCGCGCGCAACCCATCCAGCTGCCTTTTTTTCCTATTCTTGCCGCACGCTGTGGGCCCATCCAGTTGCTGCGTTCTTCTATTCTTCCAAACTGCGGGCCCATCCAGTTGCCGCGTTCTTCTTTTCTTCTGCAGGCCCACCGCGGGCACACAGGTATGTGCTGTGTGCAGCCCATCCTTTTTCTTTTCTTTTGAGGAGAGGACCCCGACGTTTACTGTTTGGGGAAAAACGGGTCTTGCGACAGACCGCCTCGACAAACCGCGCTGCACAGCTGAGGCCCGCTTAGAAAAGCGGGATGTCTGTCACAGAGGGGGGGCCGCGACAAAGAGGGGTTGGCCCGACATGGCCCGACGCCATAAGAATTTAGGACGCAGAGGCAATTATGCAGAACTTGGAAAGGCAAGGAGTTTTGTAGCGATATGCAGGCCGCGAGCTGTACAAGGTTGGCAAGGGGTGTTGTCGGCTTGCAAGGCCTTGCTATAGAGTCTCAAGACTTTAAGCCCCGTTTTGGGGATCTTGTGATCTATTAGGTTTTGGATGGTTTTGGTGTTATGATTCAGCCTAGTTAGTTAACTCCTCACATAGAACTTCAACACCTGCCCAAAGTGCTGGAAACACATGCCGCTCCCGAACATTCAGACTTCGAGAAGCAGTAATTAGCCTTCACTGCAATTGCTAAAAGTACCATATGGGGATTCTACAGGGATTCAATGGGGATACTATCGGGATTATCTGGGCATTGTAGGGGAATATATGGGGATAATGTAAAAGAAGTTGGAATCTACCAAATAGGTTGTCACTTCCTCACGTCTCTTTAAGCGGGCTTTTCTGGCCACGAACCCATCGCAGAGTCGATCATATGAGCTATAGTCTAAACTCTTTAAAAGGGATTCTATAGGGGATTATATAGGGTTTAGGGTTTAGAATTTAGGGTTTAGGGTTTAGTGGATTATATAGGGCAGAATTGTAGGGTTTATCAAGGGAAATGCTATGAGTTTGGACTATAAATCATACTGTTTCTTCGTACTACACCTA